TGTGCCGCGTCAGGGCTGAAGTTGCATTTTCTACCTAGTCTCAGTGAACAAAGCCTGACTGCTCGCCGCTTCCAACAAGGACAATGCTCTTCCGGTCTTCGCGACCCACCCGAGAGCAGTCCAAACTCGCTACCGCCCTCTCCCCTTCTCCCCCCACGCGAGAAGCAGGAACCCGAGCCCCGCACGGCTGAGTCTAACACGTCAAAGGCCTGACTACAACGTCAGCGCCGCGTCCCTACAGCGCCGAGATGGAGAGCCGACCCACGATCACGTGCCTCGAGCCGGCCGTCTTCCACTCCGTCATTTCCGGGTGCGACCGCCGCTTCTGTCCGGCCGGGCGCTGGAGGACTTGAGTGTCTCCTCAACGCGATTGCCCCTTACCTGTTCCCAGCGGGAGGGACATGAGTGTCCCGGGGCCGCCACCCCCGGACGGGGTCCTGGCAGGGCCGCCCTGCAGCCTGGAGGCCGGGGAACCGACGCTCGGTGCGTGCTGCTAGGCGGGACGGGAGGCCGCGGCGGGGTGCGAGGGGCCGGGACCTGAGTGGGTGGGACCAGACCCTCCCCGAGGGAGTAAACTGCTTGCTGCAGCTGCGGCCACAGGGCTCCGGCCCTTGCCCGGAAGTGGGGAACCGAAGTCCGGAGTGGAAGCGGTGTATTGGGGTGCGGTTGGAGGCGGATGGTGGTGAAGTCATTCTGAGTTGGTGTGTTCACTCCGGCACATCGTTGGCTGTTTGTCAAACGGTAGTGGTTGGGGATGAATTTGTTAGAAAAATGATCGGTTTATAATTCAGAGAAGTGATGTATCAAGTGTTATTGACCACTCACTCATGAAATGCTCGGTCAGGCGTGGCTTAACGACGGGATACGTTCTGAGAAATGCCTTTTTAGGCGATTTCATCATGTGCGAAAGTATGAAAGGGAACAGCACTGAATTTTTGTATTATCTACAATGGCCACTAGTTGCATGAGCGTTGCCCTCTGATTATGTTACTAAGTCTCTCTGTGCCTTATTCTCCTCATCAGTTTAGTTGGGATTAGGATAATACCACACCGACAAAGTTACGAAAATTAAATACAGATGGGGATTGTGCCTGGAACTCAGCAAGCACTCAGTGAAAGTGCGGTATATGCCCCATGTTCCAGACATCTCAAAAGTACCTCTCCTTTCTAGAGCAATCCTATATTCTCACCTTTCCTTATGCTGCTTCCTTTCTCCATATAGCATCTCTTCCACTCCTGTCATAGAATTATTACCCATTTGGAAATAGTACTCATATATTGTTGGTGGGAGTGTAAATCGGTGCCATTTCTTAGGAGAGCAGTTTTGCAGTGTCTCTTTAAAAACACATAAACCCTTTGTTCTAACAGTCTACTTCTAAGAATTTATCCTATAGAAACAGTGACACAAATATGCAAAGATAAGCAAGGAAGCTTATGGCAGCATTGTTTGAAGTAGCAAAAAATGAAAATAACTTAAATAGGGGACTGGTTAAACAAACTGTGGTATAATTCTATTATGTTAAGAAGAATGTAGTAGATTCATATGTATTGATTTTTAAGGATATCTGAGATAGATATTTAAGAGAAAAGTTGTAGGAGAGTATGAGTAATATTTCATTTGTGGTAAAAACAGAGCATATGCATGGGTATGCAAGGCTGGAAGGCTGTGTAAGAAACTCCAGAGGGACTCCCACTGGAGTTAGGGGGGCAAGAAAGAGTATTTTTTACTTTTCAGCTTGTGCCCCGCCGTGTAGTGTTTTAAGTTTTTATAATGAGTAACATCTAAAAGAAGAAGAGAGAAAATTTTATCCATTCTTCAGCTCAAATGCCCATACTTTAGGAATCCAGACTTCCCTGGTGAAAGTGATCTCTCTTCCCTGAATTTCCATAACAATGGCCCTTCTCATATTCTACTGTCCTCTGTTTTGTGCCTTTCCAGGGAAGATAACTTGCCTTATTTATTGTGTGATCTCAGAACCTAGAACATAACATGTGTAGACATCCAGCAAATGAACTTAGTAACTACATATGTATAGTAAAAACATGAGCAACTGAGACTCATCCAGTAATTAACCAGAGGATTGGGGTGAGAGAGGAGGATCCATGTGTAAGTGAATTAGTTGTTATTCCTTAAAGTTGTAATATCCTTATTTAGGTGTTTCTGTTTATCTGTAATACTTACGTTTTCTCTATTTAGTTAAAGCAAGTTGCTGTTTGCACTGTTATTGCAATCAAACCATAAGCAATGGCATTAATTGGCAGATATACTTTATTCTCTTTCCATGTGATGGTAGGTACATCAGTGGCACAGTATCCCTAAATGCTCCTGTTTTCCTATCATTTTTATTTGTGGAGTGTTTCAGTTTCTAGTTATCTCTTAACCTGTTTGAATGTTGCCTTGCAACTCTGAGAATTCTAGAGTTTGTTCATGTGTTTTTCAGGGATAAAATAAAAAATCATACAATTAAATTTTGATTTTCAAAAAACTTATTTTCAATATGACACATGTTGTTTTCCTCAATCTTGCCAAAATTAAAACCTGTGGTAAAAACTATGCCTAGAAATGTGCTATAAGCAAATGTGTTATTATACATGTATTCTGTATAGTGGTCTGATTTTATGCTTCTGATTATTACCAGGCTATGATTGAAGAGAGATGTTTCAGAGTTCAATATCAATTATAACATGCTTTTAGATACAATTTTAGTAAAGTGACCATCTCTTTCCCCTCCGGCTATTCTAAATCAGTGATTCTAAAATCTTACAAACCAATAATTGAACCCTATTTAGAAGTTGTTTGGTACTTTTCTTGGTAGGAATAGTGATTGATGATTATTCATCTTAGAAATTTAAAAATATGCCTGGCACAGTGCTTAACACTGTTATTATTCAAAGGGAAAGTATGAGGCATAGTTCCTGGTGTCAGATGTAAATTTACACACAAGAATTATTATATACTATTTTCTATGGTAGATTAAGGTGCAGAGTCTTGAGAGGAGAAATTCTTAGAAAATTTCTTTTCCCCTCCCTAACAAATGACAAAACAACCCCCCCTTTATGTGTAAATAATATAGCAAGCTGTACGCAAAATGAATGTTGACCCATATTTTTTTGTTTCTATAGAATTGAAAACATATTTTTAGGCATTGCATTTTTGTTTATATAATTTCGGCATGCATTTGAAAGCAAGAATGCTTTAGTTCAGTGGCTGTTACCCACTTTTTGGCCTCTTCAGTAATCCATTGAAAACTGTAAATCCTCTGCCCTGAAAAAACACATGAACATACAGAATTTTATATATGATTGTGTTCTTTTACTCTATACTTGACTTTATTCTAGTAGCTTAAAAACATTTATTTGAGTGCTCATAACTCATTTTTTAGAGGAAGCTCAGAAGGTAAAAGTTTAAAAAGAGAGGAAGGATACCTGTGGCTGAGAGAGTGGGTGTGCGCTCTCAACCTCACTGTGGGCCTCCTTCCCTCCTTACCTATGGCTCCCCAATCTTCTTTGATTAACTCTGTCAATTTAAAAGCTTACTAAATTTGATTTTTGCTTGGGGACAGGTTTAAATGACATTTCTCCAGATGAAGGGTTAATAGAGGACTTGACAGTAGAAGACAAAGCTGTGGAGCAACTGGCAGAAGGATTGCTTTCTCACTACTTGCCAGATCTGGAGAGATCAAAGCAAGCCCTCCAGGAACTCACGTAAGCTAACAAAAACCCAGATTTGTACTCCTTTTCTCTCTGGCATCGTCATAATTTACTGTATAATTGTATATTGTATTAAGATATAATATTTTGTAGCATTCAATTATAATTGAGATTTCTGTATCTTTAGTGTTAGCAAATGTGAGTGGAGGAGTACATACATAGTAATCTAAATGTAAAAATTGAAATGAATACTCCTGGAGTATGTGATATTTTAAGAAGTCCCCTGAATCTTATCTAGACTCTGTAATTAGTTTTGGTGTTTTATAATTACTTTATGAAAGTATTGCCTACTGTGGATTGTTGCAGGGTGGATATATACCTGTTTCTGAGATGAGTTGAAAAATTGCCTTCATATGAATCATACTTGTTTTTAGTTGCTAGTTCAAATGAGTTGCCAGAGATTCGTAAGTATCTTTTTTGAGATAAACTATTTTATTTCCTGTAGATAACTCTACTAGCTAAGTAAAGGATTAGAGGATATGTTAAGAGATGAAGAGGTTAAGGTAGAATGGAACCCATAGAGTGGGATCAGTATACAAAAATATATACTCTGACTTTATCAGCTCCCACCCAGAGACAACAGACTTAGCTTCTGCCTCCTCCCGGGTCAGCACCTCTCTAGATTGCCCAGGCTGGCCTGTCTGTCATTTCTTTCTATAGTCATCAGCTTTAAACTGTGAACTGCTCCTGCTCTAAGAATTACCCTTTGAAAACTAATTTTAGAAGCCTTTGTTATGGCAAAAAGAGAGGAATAATAAACTATGCCCATTTTATAATTATTAAGTAATGTTATAATCCTTGACATAAAGGTGCCAAATGAGTATAAAAGTGGTACTGAGTTCTACTACATGTGGTACACTACTACAGTGAGAGGGCTGGCAACATTCTTAGTTTTCTGCTAGCCCCAAGTAAGATTTTTTTTATGCTTAGTGCATGGTATGCCTTGTATTTTGATGCCAGTCAATCCTTGTGGCAAAAAAGTCATAAAGATTTTGTGGAGGAGTTTGGATGAGGTGTGATAGACTGAAGGAGGGTAAGAAACTCTGCAAGCAGAACATATCGGGTAATACCTTACTTACAGGAAGCTGGGAATCAAGGTTTAATTACAGAGTTTATTTATCTTTTTTTAAAGATGACCGGTAAAGGGATCTTAACCCTTGACTTGGTGTTATAATCACCACGCTCTCCCAAGTGAGTCAACCGGCCATCCCTATATAGGGATCCAAACCCATGGCCTTTTTGTTAGCAGCACCACATTCTCCCAAGTGAGCCACAGGCTGGCCCAAGGGTATCTTAACCCTTGACTTGGTGTTGTTAGCACCACGCTCTCCCAAGTGAGCCGACTGGCCATCCCTGTATCGGAATCTGAACCCGTGGCCTTGGTGTTATCAGCACCACACTCTCCCAAGTGAGCCATGGGCTGGCCCAAGGGAATCTTAACTCTTGACTTGGGGGTGTTAGCACCACGCTCTCCCAAGTGAGCCGACTGGCCATCCCTGTATCGGAATCTGAACCCGTGGCCTTGGTGTTATCAGCACCACACTCTCCCAAGTGAGCCATGGGCTGGCCCAAGGGAATCTTAACTCTTGACTTGGTGGTGTTAGCACCACGCTCTCCCAAGTGAGCCAACCGGCCATCGCTATATAGGGATTCGGACCCTTGGCCTTAGTGTTATCAGCACCACACCCTCCCAAGTAAGCCATGGGCTGGCCCTTAATTGCAGAGTTTAATTGGTGAGGACATTGGCTAAAATTTAGTGTTTTGAACAATCCCACGTACCTTCCTAGGTACCCAGATGACCATGATGAGGAGGATGATAGTAAAATCAACTACTGTTGATTACTATAGGCATACATTGGAGATACTGCAGGTTCAGTTCCAGACCACTCTAATAAAGTGAATATCACAATAAAACAAGTCAGACAATTTTTTTGCTTTCCCAGTGCATATAAAAGTTATATTTATACTATACTGTAGTCTATTTGGTGTGCAACAGCAGAATGTCTAAAAAACAATGAATATACCTTAATTAAAAAATATTGCTTAAAAAATGCTAACAATCATCTGAGCCTTCAGCGAGTTGTAATCTTTTTACCAGTGGAGGGTCTTGCCTTGATGTTGATGGCTACTGACTGATCAGGGTGGTGGGTAATGAAGGATGGGGTGGTTGTAGCAATTTCTTAAAAAGACAACATTGAAGTTTGCTGCAGTTGACTCTTCTTTTCATGAAAGATTTCTCTGTAGCATGTGATGCTGTTTGATAGCATTTTATTGACAATAGGACTTCTTTCAAAATTGGAGCGAGTCCACTCAAACCCTGCTGCTGCTTTATCAACTTTCCAAAATCTTTTGTTGTCATTTCAACAATGTTCACAGCATCTTCACCAGGAGTAGATTCCATCTCAAGAAACCATTTTCTTTGCTCATACATAGGCAACTTCACATCCATTAAAGTTTGATCATGAGATTGCAGTAATTTGATCACATCTTCAGGCTCCACTTCTAATTCTGATTCTCTTGCTAGTTCCACCAAATCAACAATTATTTTCTTTCATAGAAGTCTTGAACCCCTCAAAGTCATCCATGAGGTTTGAATTCAGCTTCTTCCAAACTCCTGTCAATGTTGATTTTTTTTTTTTTTTTTTTTTTAAAGATGACCGGTAAGGGGATCTCAACCCTTGGCCTGGTGTTGTCAGCACCACGCTCAGCCAGTGAGCAAACCGGCCATCCCTATATAGGATCCGAACCCGGGGCCTTGGTGTTATCAGCACCGCACTCTACCGAGTGAGCCACGGGCCGGCCCCAATGTTGATATTTTGACCTCCTTTCATGAATCATTAATGTTCTTAGTGGCATCTAGAATGGTGAATCCTTTCTAGAAGGTTTTCAACTTACTGTGCCCAGATCCATCAGAGGAATCACTATCTATGGCAGCTATAGCCTTACAAAATGTATATCTTAAATAAGACTTGAAAGTTGAAGATTCTGGAAGGTCAATCTCAATGTGTGAAGGCTCTGCACAATAAAATAAAATGCTGCTTTTGCACTTTAGAGAGCAAAAGTTACATAAAGAGGCTTGCAAAGTCACAGGAAAAAAGCAGGGAACAGTTATTAATTTATAAGGACTAGATATCTTTTAGTATTTTGAATATATCATCTCATTCCCTTCTGGCCTGTAAAGTTTCTATTGGGAAGCCTGCTGTTCGTCTGATGGATATCCCTCATAAATGTAAATACAAAAAATGTTAACAGAACATTAGCAAATAAACTTCAGCAACATATAAAAAGAATTCTAGATCATGACCAAGTGGGTTATATTCTAGGGATGAAAGGCTTGTTCAGCATTTAGAATACAATCCATCATATTAGCAGACTAAAGAAGAAAAATCACAGGATTGTACCAATTAATGCATGAGACAGTTGACAAAATTCAAGACACGTTAATGATAAAAAACTATCCAAAAACTAGTAACAGAGAGAGACTTCCAAAACTTGATTTTAAAAAAACTACAGAAAGACAGTTTAACAAAAATTTAATGTATAAGACTGTTGACAAAATTCAAGACACATTAATGATAAACTACCCAAAAACTAGTAATAGAGTGAGACTTCCTAAACATGATTTTTTTAAAAAAATCTACTAAAAGCCTATAGCTTAACTTAACAGTGAAAGACTGAATGCTTTCCTCCTAAGATCGGCATCAAGGCAAGGGTGTTTGCTCCCATTCTTCTTATTCAACGTAATACTGAAACTCTTTGCCAGTGCGAAATGGCAAGGAAGAAAATAAAGGACGTCCAAACCAGAAATAAATAAAATTATTACTGTATGCAGCTGACACAATGATCCATGTAGAAAAATCCCTAAGAAGTTTACTAAAAACCTCCTAGAAGGCATGAACATATTAATCTCCTTGTACCTCTTCATCAGAGCTCTTGGGTGAGGAGGTTCAGTGCCAATGAGCAGTAATATTTTGAAAGGATTTTTTTCTGAGCATTAGGTCTCAACAGCAGGCTTACAATATTTAGTAAACCTTGCTGTACACAGATGTGCTGTCATCCAGGCTTTGTTGTTCCATTTGTAGAGCAGTGGCAGAGTAGATTGAGAATCATTCATAAGGGTCCTAGGATTTTCAGAATGGTAAATGAACATTGGTTTCAATTTAAAGTTACTAAATGCATTAGCCCCTAAAGAGAGACTCAGCCTGTCCTTTGAAGCTTTAAAGCCAGGCATTGACTATTCCTCTCTAGCTATCGAAGTCCTAGATAGCATCTTCTTCCAATATAAGGCTGTTTCATCTACATTGAAAATCTGTTGTTTAGTGCAGCCACCTTCATCAATGATCTTAGCAGATCTTCTGGATAACTTGCTGCAGTTTCTACATCAGCACTTGCTACTTCACCTTCCACTTTTATGTTATGGAGATGGCTTCCTTCCTTCAGCCTAATGAACCAACCTCTGCTAGCTTCAGACTTTTGTTTTGCAGCTTCCTCACCTCTCTCAGCCTTCATAGAATTGAAGAGAGTTAGGACGTTGCTCTGGATTAGGCTTTGGCTTAAGGGAATGTTGTGGCTGATTTGATCTTCTATCTAGACCACTAAAACTTTCTCTACATCAGCAATAAGGCTGTTTTGGTTTCTTATCATTCTTGTTTTCACTGGGATAGCACTTTTAATTTCCATCAAGAACTTTTTCCTTTGCATTCACAACTTGGCTGTTTGGCATAGGAGGCCTAGCTTTTGGCCTGTGTTGTCTTTCAACACGTCTTCCTCACTAAGCTGAATCATTTCTAGCTTTTGATTTAAAGTAAGGGACAAGTGACTCTTCCTTTCACTTGGACACTTAGAAGACATTGTTGGATTATTAATTGGTCTAATTTCAATATTGTTGTGTCTCAGGGAATAGAGAGGCCCCAGGAGAAGGAGAGAGATGGGGGAGTGTCTGGTTGGTGGAGCAGTCAGAACACACAACATTTATCAGTTAAATTTACTGTCTT